ATTAAAGTATTTTACGTAATATTGATATTAAAAATAAAACTTACTTTTGTAATTTTTTATATAAATTAATAATAAAAATATTTAATAAATACACTTTAAAGAAAAAAATATTAATATAAATTATCAATTTAGTACTAACTCAACACTTATGTAAGATAAAAAAATGTCACCCTATTATGATGTAAGCAATAGATCCCACCAGAAGCACCTTTCTGTTATGAATTAATAAGTGTCTAACGTAAACCATGCAAAAAGGGTTGATTTGCAACCATACAATGAGTTAAGGGGTTGATTTGTGTCTGTTTTTAGTTGAGGGGCTGATTTGTCACCATTCACTGAGTATAGGAGCTAATTTGCCCTTTTTGCTTTTTTTTTTTTTTTTTTTTAAAGATTTGAACTGTACCAGTTTAATTTCAATGTATTGATCGATACGCAAAATATTAGCTAGTACACTAAAATTTGACTGATATACCTAAAATTTGACCAAAATGAAATTATAACTTATATCATGTCAAATTAATAATAATAATAAAAAAAACAATACATACTAATCGGTACAAAACGATATTGAATCTTTTGATTAGTATTGTGTTTTTTTTTTTATGGTAATGATTAGTATTATGCATAGTTGTTTGGAGGATTAAAGTTGAAATTTGTACAGAGTTTTACTTTCAAAAGTTTTAACTAAATAGATTCTAAACCGACCTTCTAGGGTCTAATGATTTGTCCCCAAGTCTTAGTAGTTGGGTAAGGTTGGTTGGGACTTCGAGTTCCACTAACTACTTAAATATTTGCACTTGGCGTACGTGCCATTAGTGTTTCTCCAATCCATGGGCTGCCCATTTCTCCTTACCCATTTCTCCTTTCCCTTTATAATTGTCCTTGTTCAAAAAAAAGAAAAAGAAAAAGAAAAAGAACATATTCTAGATTTCAACTTTTAGCTTCTTCTTTCTCTTTTTTTTTTTTTTTTAACTTCAACAATTATAATAAGCATGCTCTTAATTTACAGAAAGCTTATTGCACTCAATGGAACTCTTATCTGTTGCTGGAGGTGCTTTTTTAACTGTTGTTTTTGAGAGGTTGTTCAACAAGTTAGAGTTTAGCAGAGCACTGAATTTACAAGGGCATGTCCTTATTAAGCTACGACAATGGGAAAGCTTATCATTGAAAATTCATGCCCTACTTGAAGATGTAGAAAAGACTCAAATGTTCAATTCCAGCCATTTGGTGAACATATGGCTTGATGATATTAGGGACTTAGCTTATGATATGGAGGACGTCCTGGATGAATTCATGACAGATGCTCAAAAAAGCAACTTAACTACAAAACCTCACTATGCCAGCACCAGCAAACTTATCCCTTCATGTTTCAACTGTTTCAAACAAAGTGAGTTTGTCTCTAATTCCCAAGCTATTTCTAAAGTGGATGATATCACTCGCAAATTGCAGTCCATGATAGATGAATCAAAGACACTCCACTTAATGAGTTCGACAATGCAAGCTAGAGATGGACTTAACAAAGCATCTACAAGAAGATTACCCACTACTTCTCTGCTTGAACCTTATGTTTATGGTCGAGAAAGTGATAAAGCAGCTATTCTTGAAAAGTTGCTCAATGATGAAGGCAGCAGTTCCAAAGGATTTTGTGTTATTCCTATCCATGGGATGCCAGGTGTCGGAAAGACCACTCTAGCTCAACTTGTTTACAAGGAGGTGAAGCCAGAAAGCTTTGAGCTTAAGGCCTGGGTTTGTGTATCTGATCAAATTGATATCCCGAGCATAACAAGAACTGTTCTAGAGGCAGTTGGGGGAAAGTGTGATTCGAATGATTTGAATTTGCTTCAACAAGAATTGCACAAGATGTTATCTAATAAAAAGTTTCTACTTGTACTGGATGACATTTGGAATGAGGACCCCTACTTGTGGGATAGCTTACAAAAACCATTCTTATCTGTGGCAGTTGGAAGTAAAATAATGATCACAACTCGTAGTGAGCATGTTGTAGAACTTATGCAAGGGAAGTCTAGAGCTCACCACCTAAAAGTGTTGAAAGATGAAGAGTGCTTGTCAATATTTGCTCAACGTGCTTTGGGAGCTGACAACTTTGATGCATACCCAAGTCTAAAAGAAGTTGGAGAGAATATTGTTAAAAGGTGCAAAGGATTACCACTAGTTGCAACAATCCTTGGAGGCCTTTTATGTGATAAGTTAGATCATTTTACTTGGGAACACATCTTAAATAGTGAAATATGGGAGCTACAAGAAAGTGAAAGAGGCATTCTTCCAGCTTTAAGATTAAGCTATTATTATCTTCCGTCTTGTTTAAAGCCATGTTTTGCTTACTGTGCTGTGTTTCCTAAAGACTATGAGTTTGACAGGAATGAGCTAGTTTTGCTGTGGATGGCTGTGGGGCTTTTCCAAAAACAATATTTAGAAGAAGTTGGACATCAATATTTTAATGAGTTAGCATCAAGAGCATTTTTTCAGAGGTCAAGTAGGCATGGATCACGGTTTGTGATGCATGATCTAATACATGATTTAGCTCAATTTGTTGCTGGAACAACATCCTTCAATCTAGAAAATCTATGGAAAGCCAATAAAAAATCAAAAGTGAATTTTGAGAAGGTCCGCCATTTGTCATTTTACCCTGGCCAGTATGATATATCCAAGAAATTTGAAGTTCTGAATGAAATGAAGAGTTTAAGAACATTCATTCCCTCTGTTTCAATCTCTCTACATGATCAATTCTATATATCAAATACAGTGGTGCATGATTGGTTACCAAAATTACGGTGCTTAAGGGCATTATCTCTTTGCAATTATATCATACGGAAACTACCAGATTCTATTGGAGATTTAAAATGCTTGAAGTACCTCAATTTGTCAAGAACTTTGATTGAGAGCCTACCTGAATCCATAGGGTTCCTTCTCCAATTACAAACATTACTGTTATTCAATTGTGACAAGTTTTTGAAATTTCCTTCGACAATTGGGAACCTAGTTGAGCTCCATCATCTGAATATTAAGGGGACAGATTCTTTAGAAGAGATGCCAACAGGAATAGCCAATCTTAAAAATCTTTTGACACTTTCCAAATTTATGGTGGGGGAGGCAAATGGATTGATGAGATTATCTGATTTAAAGAACTTCTCGCAACTTCGAGGAAGATTGTCTATTTTGGATCTACAAAATGTTTTTGATATTCAAGATGCTAGGGAAGCCAACCTAGGTGTCATACATGGTCTTAATGATTTACTCTTGGAGTGGACTTCTTATTACAGTAATTCAAGGGATAGAAGCAATGATGAAATGCATGTTCTAAATTGGTTAAAACCTCATTCAAATTTGAAAAGTCTCAAAATTGTTTTCTATGGTGGCTACAAATTCCCATTATGGATGGGTGATCCATTATTTTCTAGTTTATCACACTTGGAGCTCAAAAATTGTGAGAGATGCACTTTGTTGCCATCACTTGGACAATTACCTGTTCTTAAAGAATTGAGAATTGAAGGAATGAAGGCAATAGAAGTTGTGGGTCTTGAGTTTTATGGGCATGGCACTTTTCCATCACTTCGTAAACTAGTGTTTCGCAATATGTTTAATTGGAAAGAATGGTCTTCTCCAACAGGAAGTAGAGGTGAATTCCCTGGTCTCTATAGGCTTGTAATTCAAAATTGTCCTAAGTTGATAGGACAATTACCAAGCAACCTTGGTTACCTTATAAGTCTTGTGATATATAATTGTCCAGAGTTAAGATGCTCCTCTATGAGTCTTCCGTTGCTTAAACACCTAAATATTGAAAATTGTAATGTTGCTCTTTTGAAGAACATGATTGATCTCACCTCTGTCAATAGCTTGAAAATTGAGAGAATTTCAGAGCTAAATTGCATGCCTAAGAGTTTTGTGGAGTCCCTAACAATGCTTAAGTTTCTGAGTGTTAAAAGTTGTGAAGAACTTACTTGTTTGTGGGAGGAAGGAGCAGCAATAGCAAACCTTGCTCATCTAGAGGGAATGGTAATTTTTGATTGTCCTCTTCTTGTGTGTTTGGCAGGGACAGAACAAGGCCTCCCGCCTTTCAACCTTAAAGATTTTCACCTCTCGAACTGTGGGGAATTTGGGTCATTACCCAATATGATGATGATGAACATGGATGGAAGCAGTAACAACATCTTGTTTACGCTGAAAAATTTAACCATCAGGCATTGTTCTTCTCTCAAGTCTTTTCCAAGAGGGAAATTATCTACCACAATTAAATCACTATGCATAAGCACTTTTGAAAATCTTGAATCTCTACTGGATGTTAACAATAGCAATCTTAAAGGTTTGAAACTACGCGCACTTCCATCTCTAAATTCTTTTCAAGGTGGTCAATTGCCAGATTCTCTTGAGCATTTTTATGTTGAAAATTGTAGAGGGTTGGAGTCCTTTCCAAAGAGGATGCTGCAACATTGCACTAGACTTCAACGTATGGTTATAAGTTATTGTGACAAATTGAAAAGCTTACCCATCATTGATGGCCTCAGCAACCTTGTTTATTTACAAGTTGCAAACTGTGAAGTTTTAGAGGCCCTCCCAGAGTTGGGTTCATCCATCCCCAATTTGGAGTATTTGACGATAATAGGGTGTAAGAGTCTTAAGACCCTATCAGATACCTTGTACCAGTTGCAATCGCTTCAGAGCTTATACATAAGAGACTGCCCCGGCATCAAGTGCATTACAGATGGGGCTTTGCCCCCAAACTTAACAAGTCTTGTGTTATATTGTGAGAATCTCATGTTGCTGCCAAATAACGTGGTTGAGTTGAGATCGCTTCAAAGACTATCCACTTCAGATGGGCATTTGTTGGTGGGATTGGGCCTCCACAACCTTAGCTCTCTTCAGGAGTTGGCAATTAGTCGAACATGGCCTCCTAATATTGTGTTGCCATTTTCTTTAACGTCTCTTTTGATCACTGATGTAGAAAATCTGGAATATATACCCAAAGGGCTTCACAACCTTAACTCTCTTCAACAGTTACATATATACAACTGTCCGAAGCTCCGGTCCTTGCCAAGGGAAGGCTTGCCTCCCTTGCTTGGAAAACTCAACATCAAAAATTGCCAACATCTAAAACAACAACGCTTTGAGGCAAAAGGAGATTATTGGCATCTCACCCGTAGCATCGCCTGCATTGAGATAGATCAGGATCAGGTAAAACCTTGTTTGAAAGAAAGACTGAAATTGACTTCATCTTTTATGCTTTTGATATGAGAGTTTAGAAAATTTAAATTGATTACTACATATAAGCATAGCATGTTGAGTTGAGATGGTAGGTTTTTTCTCCTCTTTTGTTGCTTTTTCGCATATGATAAATGATATGTGTCCTTTCTATGCAGGTTATGTATGGCTAACTAGTTGGTAGCAAGAACCAATTCTTACTTGAAGCTCATGAATCCTACAATTTATTGTTCAGGTATGGTATATTTATTCTTGGTTTTTAATTTTGGTTTATGCTGCATTCAATTTGCCTCAAAATGATTTATGCTTTTATGATTATTGGAAAGAGATTAAATGGTTGAGACTTGACAATTTTCTTATGAAAGGAACATGAATACCATTTAATTTCTGTTATCATTTTTAAATCCTCTGCTTCCTCCTTGTAGTTGCAAGTGAAGGCCTTACTATTATGATTCTTAATTTAGTTTTAGTTTCAATCAAATTCAAATTCAGAAAACAAAGCCAATGAATCGAAATTTTAAATATGAATTTTAATACTGCAGAATCTCAAATTTTCCATTCTGATGTATTGGGAGATTTTTGAAACAATCAGGTGCTGATTAAGAAGGATATACTCAGTTGTACCCTCCTTCTTGCCTGGCAAGTGTTTTGGGTTTTTGAGTTTTAAAACAATGAGCTGCTGATTGAAAGCATATATGACCTTTGCTGAATTCAACAAGCTTGTAATCTATCCATGTCCAGTTGCAGTTTGGAAGATTTGCTATTCAACTTTATCTTGGCATGATGATTGTGACGTTGTGATTTATTATTGTTAAGAACCCCTAGTCTTGTCTAGAGATAAAGAAGAAACCTTGTAATTTTACTATTGTTACCATTTCAACTGTGGAAGTTTCATGAGGCCTGGTCATTTTTTCCCTTATAGTTTTTTTACCTTAAAAAATTCAGTATCTCGATTTTAGTAATGTGTTTACCATTTGATTAAGAAATGCACACATTCCTCCATCCACCAATGTTTGTGTCACACTATGCAAATGCATACATATATATACACACATAATAAAGAAACAAAGAAAGAATCATTCTCTGCAATAATCTTGTTTCAAAAGAGTACATCTAAATAGAGAGGAAACATTTCATTGTAGTCACATGCACTCTCAACTTAATATATGGTCTTCGAGATCAATTTTAAAGATATGTTCATGCATTTAACTTAATCATTGTAAAGATTTTGTCTATTACAAAAGCAAAAACTTAGTCAAACTTAGAAAATTATATTAAAATATATTTTTTATGATTATTTGTTTTTGTTTGATTGTAACTTTGTAAGTATTTAGAGTGCTAAATCTCAAATCACCTTTTTCGATAATTAAAAAAACAAAAATATAATTATATTAAATTAAATGGTGTCCCTATTACTAAATCGAAGAAAAAAAAATAAATAAAAAGAGAAACTCAAGCATATCAATGTGTTGTTTGAAATTAAAAACATAACACAGTATTTACTAGAAATAAAGAGTTTTAAATTTTAAATTTTCTAAAATTTTAAGAGGTAGGAGTAATATATATTTTTTTTCTTAATTATATGTGAAATTATATTCCTATTAAAAAATTCAAGGAAAACAAATTAAGCATTTGAATGACAAAATTTAGGCATCTCAATATCATCATTCTCCATTTTTATTCTTCTGTTTTTTTTTTCCTTTCTAATTTTTTTAAATGAAAAAAAAAAGGAGATCGTTGAGATGAAATGAGACTTAATTTTATAAGAAAAAAAAAATTGTCGGGCTGACAGGTTAGTTAGGAATTGGGCCACACAAAGCTCCTTGTGTAATGAAGGCTGGGCCACGAAATCGTCCAAGCATCTACCTACGAGATTTCATAGTCAGTTTGCAGCTACAGAACCTAGCCCAACATAGCTCGGAATAGACCTGTGGCCAGTGAACAGTGATTATAAGGACATATTAATAAGGCAAAAGGTGCAGATCACCCCCTCAACTCAACAATTGGTGGCAAATCACCCCCTCAACACACTTCACACGCAAATCACCCCCTCAACTCACCTGCAGTGGCAAATCACCCCCCTTTATTAACATCGGCACCATCCTTCCGTTAGCTTTCATCCGAACCCATGATTTCTTCTCCCAGTCCATTTGGTAAATATAACAAGCACTAAGTAAACATTGTTTCTTCACCCCCATCAACAGATCACCCTTCACCTCCACCAAGTAATAGCAGTGACATCCCTCTTTGACTGGTTCTACACTCAGTTTCACTGCTTTCTGAAAGTTGTTGACAGTAGGTTGAATAGCCCAGATGTAACCGTAAAAATCAATGGCGTAGAAGTCACCCTTGTAGAATATTGCATCGGAACACCATCCCACGAAGTTGTTTATTCTGATCCATGCATGATCCCCTGTTCTGCAAAAGGAAAACCTGTGTCCGTATTTACCGGGATGGATGGCCAGGGCTTTGCAGAGAGGATCCCTCAGAATGGTGGAGGTGATCACCCTCGTAATCTCCGGCTTCTTGGAACTCATCCGGCAGATTTTCGGCCTCCTAAATCGTTTCTCAGGAGGAAGCTTAACGGTGGCGCTGGTGATGGGATTTAAAAGATGAATGGCTTGATTGGCAACGGTGAGAAGCCAGCCATGAGAGGATGCAGTATACCATCCTCCTTGGAGTTGTGGTAGAAAAATCCTGTGGATTTTGCGGGAGCAATAGTTGTAGATCCGACAGCATTGCCGGCCTGTTTGATTCTCCGGCGGAAGCAATACTAATAGAGCGTTGGATTTGAGTCCGGGATAGCGTAAATAGAGTAATCGAGTGGCATATTGCCAGGAGACAGACCACGCAGAGAGCCAGCTTGAAGATGACTTTTGGGTCGGTGGTACTCGACGACATCGACGGAGGAAGGGCTTATGAGCGAACTGTTAAAAGCTAACGGAAGGATGGTGCCGGTGTTAACAGAAGGCGTGATTTGCCACTGTAGGTGAGTTGAGGGGGTGATTTGCACGTGAAGTGGGTTGAGGGGGTGATTGGCCACCAGTGGTTGAGTTGAGGGGGTGATCTGCACCTTTTGCCTATTAATAACTCTATTTGGACGATATGGGACTCTAACCAAAACCGAAAACGACGTCACTTCGTATAAAAACTACAATCCCTTTTTTTCCATGTGATGCCTCTGAGATTTTTTTTTTTTTGGGGGTAAAATATTAAAATCTCATTATGGCTCCTCAATTTTTATATAGAGTTTCTTTGGGTTATAGAGTTTATTTTTCAGTCCTTTAAAATTCTTGTTTTTTCATACTTGATGTGTTAATTTAACAAAACTCTTGTTTTCATTTAAATTGATGATGCATATGTAAAAATGGAAAAGCTCATGCTTTAACGGCCTCTTCTTCTGCAACAAAGATGGTATTCTCTAGCAAATCTGAGAGTGAAGAACTTAAAAACTAAATTATAATAAAATTTTTTGTTAAACCCTCAATTTGGTCTCTTAATTATTATATGAATCCCTAAATTATTTTTTGAACCAAATAAATCCTTAATTTGAAATTTAAAATTTTTAAATTTGACTTTAGATTGGTTTTTCAATTAAAAAATAACTAATGTATCCATTACTTAGTGATAAAAAATGATTATTTGATAATCATGTGTCACATTAATAACAAAATACGTCAGCTATTTTTGTACAAAATAATTAATTTAAAGTCAAATTTAAAAATTTTAGAAATCAAATTAAAAATTTTTTTGGTTCAAAGGTTAACTCAAAACTGTGTATAATAATTAAAGTGTCAAATTGGGTATTTAACCTTTTTTTTTTCACCCTTTTTAGTCTCTCTCTTCACACGTTTTTTTTTCATACAAATTGATGATGTGGATATTCCTAACATGTAAAAATGGAAAGCTCATACTTTAATAACCTTCTTCTCCAGCAAAGCAGAATATGAAGAACTTAACATCATCCTGTGTAATAATTTTATATCAAAGAGTACATCTCATCACCCTGTGTAATAATTTTATATCGAAGAGTACATCTAAATGGAGAGGAAACATTTCAATGTAGGCCATGCATCCTCAACTTGGCAAATGGCATCCTTGTCATCATTTCCTGTAATTTCAAAATTTTCTTTCTCAAAATAATATTTGAGATCGATCTCTCTTTGGTAATAATTTTTACATGCTTCTTCCCTTAAGGAATATAAGTACTTATTTAGCTTAATCATTGAAAAGTTCATCTTTATGAAAAAAAAAAAAAAATCAAACTTAGAAAACTACATCCAAATATAATTTTTTATGATTATTTTTTGTTGTAGCTTTGTTAGTGCTTTCAATTCTCCTTTTTCCCTAGATAAAAGAATAATAATAATAATATTCAACTAAATTGTGTACCTATTACTAAAATGAAGCCAAAAAACAGAAGATCAACTGTCTCAATGTATTGTTTGCAAAAATTGAGACTAAAAACATGTAACGGTATTTATTAAAATTGTATAGTTTTGAATTTTAAAAATTCTGATCTTTTACGAGGTAGGGCCAACTAATTTTCTATTCTCAAAATCATCATGCTTCAATCTTATCTCAAGCCCTGTTTTTTTCATCTGAGTTTTTTTTTTTTTTCGAATTAATAAGAAAAAAGATGGTTAAGTGAAAAAAAAAAAAATTTGTTGGGCTGGGTTATGAATCACGAGTTGGGCCACGCATAGCTCCATCGACTTAGAAAGGCTCAGGCCACGAGGTCCACCAAGCATTTCTTCTCGGGCTTTCAGAGCCA